GTACGCACCCACCACCAGGGTTCCAATCCAGAACCTTCCGGTTACAAGGCAAGCTGGTTTGTATACCATTCACCCACTGGGACCCGATTCAATGGCCATCACATGAATGCTAACTTCTACCAATTTAGCGTGACTGGCACCAATCAATGTTATCGGTGCGACATCCATCCTCCTATCAAAACAACTCAAAAAAATAATCTGATACTCGCTAATGACTTGCTACAGGACGGAGTTTCCTGGAGTTCTAGTGAGAAGTCGTGACCAGTTAGGTCTATCTAGTCAAGTGTGAGGATGGATTTCTCACCGATGACATTGGTTGATGGTCACGCTAAATTCATCATGAATTGGTAGAAGTTAGAATACATGTACTGGACATTGAATCAGGTCCCAGTGGCTGAATGGTATACGAGCCAGCTTGACTTGTAACTGGAAGGTCCTGGGTTCGAACCTTGATGGTGGGTGTGCACTGTGGATAATTCCCAAACAGAGATGAAACAGCTAGCTGTCCAGTACTCCCTAGTTTGCAGTGGTTCTCTAACTGGTGTCCATTCGTGGTCAAACTCGTAAATACAAATCTAATCCCTACAAACTAGCTATAGAAAATTTAATAAATGTTTATGGAAACAGAAAAAAAATCAGTTTTATTGAAAAATTGATGAAAACAAAACACGTCTTTCAGCGAAGAGGCAAATTCAATAAACTCTGTAGCCGTACATTGGCATTTATGCACTAATTTTTCCCATGAAAGAGGTTGGTAGCAAAAGCCATGGGTTGTCGCAAACATACTTGTTATTATTAGTCAATGTATGAGGGGAGTTTAATGATTGTGTTACAGTCAAATAAAAGGATGAATGATTTAATGAATGAGTTGTAATCAAGATACACATTGAAACAAAGTAAAATATGGAATCACGTAAGAGTTCTAAAGAAATACGAAAGTTATGAGGAGTTAGATAAAACTAACCAACAGAAATTACGTTAGTAGAAACCAAAAAGTTTGTACCTATGATAATAGAATTGGTTGAATAATTTCCCTTTATATACAGAGCTTTGGTTTCTCTGTTTGAATGTTTAGAGCCTCAGCAATGCATAGAGAGAATGAGAGCATATCGTCTTTGGTAGGCTGTCCTTCACACTTTGTAGATTATTTTGACAGAGGCATTTGTTGAGAACGAATGACCAGTGTTGACAAGGTGTTCGAGTATTGCACTCCATATTGAGCCGGTACTACCTATCTACGACCATGCCAGAAAGTGTTCTTGAAGCCTTTTAGACAGGATACACGTCAAACGACCAGTATACTTGGCTCCAAAAGAACAGGTGAACTAATATATGCACATAGAAGGAGTTGGTTGCGATATTTTCTCCTTCAGGCTTCTGCAGACCAATGGACGACTGGAAAACACTGTTGTAGCCTCTGATCTAACTAGCAGATAGATCTCAGTGTTAATTCAGTTGAATAAACTTTTATCTGGGTTACAGTTACTCAGTTAACTCATCCGACTTCAAAATTACCCCCTGCAGTTCTATTTGGTAAGGGTTGAAAACACAGTACCTAATTGTATATGAAAAAATATAGAGATTTGTCGCCAAGGTGGATGATTTTGATTTGAATGAATCAGAGCTGAGGAAGTGCGGCGGCTCTGCGTGTTCAACCATCGCTATCTCCGCAGGATTGCTTGCGTTTGATGGCATCATCGCGTGAGTAATTCTGAGGTTCGGTGGCGTGTATTTGAACACAGTGGAGATCACCATTTGTTGAGTGTCGTCATCTAGGAACACCAGCTTCGGTGGCATGAACATGTGCTGTGAATGTCATCCCAGAGGCTTCCGTACAGGGGTCTGTTCGCTAGCCCTGAGACGGGATGGAAAAGGCGGACAGGTGGTCAGTCCATGACGTGGCATCGCGGGATGAAGGATATTTGTGCTAGATTAGCATCAGTTGGTGCGTCACGACTCCCTGGTTGGGATCCGAGAGATAGCTCGAAACGTTATCGGATATGGCCAAGAATCGCGACCAGTGGCAAAATTGTTGCAATTTCCTTCTTTCTTCCCTTCCCGATGAAAGTTGAAGAATACTGTTTGAACTTGTTAAGTATGGCATTTTACTTCCTGATGAAGTTGTTTTCCTGTTCTCCACCCAAATTTTCCTTTTAGTCTATGTTGTTTGTTTATTATTTTTTGTGGCGCATCTTCCTGGTACCATATTGTACCAAGTTTTTTTCCGTTTAAATAAAATAATAAAATAATCGATGGGTTAGGTGGTGTGATTGCAAAGCTTCATCGTCCTTCTAGACGACGTCTTCTGTGTGAGGTTATCATCGTGTACTACTGATCAATATGGTTGTCAGGTAATTTTTTAATAACTAAGTTAAAATTAACTTCTAATATCATAACAGAACTGATTTAAATGAAGATCGGTCAGATGTGAGTGCCAGCATTTCACTGCTAAGTCGAATCCTTAATGTGGACATCCATACGGTGACGCAATTAAATTAATCAAGCCGAAATATGGACTTTTATGGCCGATGTCACTAGCCAGAATTCGAGAGGTTTCGATTGACTGGTTTATGTGGATTTAGTCAAACTGGCTGCGTAGCTTATGGAATCAACCCACGGAAAAAGGAATCGACAGCTTGGTGTTTAGCAGACTCCGGTTATCTGGCTAGCAAACATTACTGTCTGATATAATGGTTGCTAACTAGTCATTTCAATCATTAGAATAAAGCATAACGCTAGTGTGTTACACAGTGATACAGTGATTTCATAGAGTTGACATATGTCAAGATTTCAATTTGAATCACGTTGTCCAAGTGACTTATCAGTAGTGTGCACGTATGATCTGAATATGAGTGAGCTGGCATACAATCACTTCCCTTGGAATTCTACCTCTAAGCAGCCGTTATCGTGTAGCCTAAATTAAAACATTCAGTTTTATGAAAGCAAAATGTTTCACCTAATTTTTTCTTTGCATAAATGGTTGAATGTAAAAGTACTTACTGGCTTCTTTGAAAATCCACGTCCTACTGACTGACTGGTTTCAACATAGAATATTGGACCAATGTGCAGCAATTACAGTCGCCACACTCCAAGTAGCGCACAAAGCACGAGAAGAAAGTAAAAAGAAATACAAAATAGACACAGTAAACAGAGATATGAGGCAAAAAGAATTGTAATACGGAAGAACAACATAGTTTTAATGGATAAGTCACGAAGAGTGGATGCATCTGCACTAGCCAGTGAGAACGGTTTTGAGCCATATCACCGGTTGTCTCCAGCCAACATTGATTTTTATTGTCCTGAGGACTCCTACCAGGAAGTCTACACCTCTTGACTTGGCTTAAACTAACTGTCGTAGATTTCATTTACTGATCAGGCCATGTTTTGGTTTGACCACCATTGGCTCTTTTCCAACCAGACCTTATGTCATCTAACATCGCCCATTGTCCAGGAAGGCGATAGTTGGGCATACGTAACACATGTCCTAACCATCTCAATCGACGTAACTTCGCAACCTCGTCGATTGATTTCCCCTCCTTACCTAGCACTTGACCGATGCTTCACCTCAGTATTACTCACCCTCTTATACCAATTCACACGAGAGATAGGACGCAGACAACTATGATCAAAAACAACTAGCCAGCCTTTCCATGTCTTCCACTTTCAATGGTCATGTCTCACTCACAGCCATAAAGGAGGATGGAGCGGACTGCTGATCAGTACACACGTCCTTTGATCGATAGCCAGCCGGATATCATGTCTACTAGGCCAGAGACGGCGTAAACTGGCATATGCGAGACAAGCCTTCTGAATCCGTGCTGAGATTTCATCAGCGACCAGCCCGCTGGCGCTGGCTGACGCAACTTCCCAAATAAGTGAAGTGGTCAATACGCTCCACCAACAACTTCGCTCCCTGTTTCTAAGCTAGGAATCAATGTAGTCCATTTCAGTCCTGTAGCAACATCTTACATTTGGCGGGAGTGAATCACATGCCAAACATTCGAAGATTGCAGCTCAAGGTGTTCAGAAGACTCTAAATATTGTCAGCGTCTCCACTCAGAAGGACTATATCATTTGCATGTTCTAAGTCAACGAGATTATTTCCTGAGTCTCTTAAGTGAGTTGGGGTTAATTCTATCAGTACATCTATTTTGAAATTGAATAGGAATGCGGAGAGTGGCCATTCCTGTCGGACACCACTAGTTGTCACCACTTCAGATAAAAAATCGCCGTAAGTTCTCACCTCAGTTCCAGCAGAGTGCCTTGATCAGCACAATGTATTTTCTCGGCATTCCTTTCACAGCCTAAAATCGCCAGAGAACCTCTCGTTCAACAGAATCGAATGACGCCTTTAGGTCAAGAAACATAACGATTGCCGGACGCCAGTGGTAACTATGCCTATGTTCCAGAATTTGTCGGAAGGTGAAAATTTGATCAATACACCCTCTTCCTGGTCTAAAGCTTGCCTTGTTCTCTCCTGTTTGTTCCTCCCGAGCAACGCTTAGTCTACGCATGATTATTGAGCCTAGAACTTTAGATAACATATCAGTCAAGCTAGTCCCCCTGAGATTATCACAAAAAGAATTGTCTCCCTTTTTGCATATCGGGATAATCAATGACTTACACCAACCCGACGGGACTTTCTCTGACTCCCAGATACTGCCTAGTACCTTAGTTAACGCAGAAAGTAAACTGTCTCCATCGTACTTAAATACCCTTGGAGTCATTCCATCGAGTCCCTCAGCTTCGCCTCGTCCTACTACCGACAGTTAGTCTCTTAAACTCCACCTAGTTCACTACCTGGCGCTTAACCTGACAAAGAGACTAGAAACTCCATCCTGTGACAAAAAACTCCACGGCTTCTGAAACCTTATAGCTTGAAGTATTTATTATGTTGTATACCCGAAATGAAGAATGTTTCACTATTCTAGCTAGATAGCATAATCAATGGATATGCCTATGTTTGTCTTACTAAACGTTGTTTTTTCCTTTCGCAATAGAAATTCGAGTGTTCCTTTGCTAATGGTGATGTGATCTATCGTCATGAAGGCAATCCGTTGATAAATCATGATCATATTCAAGTGACAATATTTTTCTTTCGTAATAATAATTCTGTTGTACAAACTGTTGATATCATGATTGATATTCACGATCCACCGAAATATATGCCGCTGAATACTACCGCTACTACTGCGACTACTTCTTCTGATGCTAGTGAAATGAATGTTACATTGGAAATGAAAAATAATAAACAAATGCAGACAAAATATAATGATTATTCAATGAGTACAATACCTGAGAGTAGAATTCAAGTGATAAGAGAATTAAAAGTTAAAAATTTAAGAGCTACAAGTGAAAGTATCAGTTCAGAAATATTAAAAATACGGTGAGTAATATAATGTATATTTATATATATTTTATGTTTCCTTATTCATATATGTATATAAACCACTTTCTACACTCCACGCTGTTTACATTTAGAGGGATTCTTTACTGTCAAACAGAAGGCACTGCTATGGGATCACCAGAGTTGCCAGTCTGTTTATGCACGCATTAAAACAAATGCAATTATGAGATTCTCTAGTCCTCCAAGAATGTGGTTAAGATACGTGGATGATACCTTCGTCCTAATCAGACGCAGTATGTTGAATGAACCTTTTCAAATAACAAACACAATGTTAGAGACCACTGAGTTTTTCAAAGAGGTTGAATCAGACGAAAATGATTTGGCTCGCCTGGACTGTTTAGAAAAAAGAAAACCAGATAGGTAACTTAAAATAAACATTTCCAGAAAGCCGACAAATTCGGATAGATACCTAGATAACCATTCAGCTCACCCATTTACCACCAAAGTAACTGTGGTCAAGAATCTGATCAACAGAGCCAAACAACTAGTTTCTGAAGAGGAAGAGATTTGCAGGGGACTAAAGTTTGTTCAGTCCACTCTTGAATGAAATAATCACCCCAAAGGCTTTAAAAAAGTATTTAAAATGTGAAGATAAGGATGAATCGAAATCTCTTGCTACGAATCGAGTTAGCACAGGAGTGATTCTTTACCGCAAAGTTAGTCCTTAACAATCCTGGGTGCATTTTAGTGCAACTAACATCTTACGCTGATCACTGGTGAAGGTTAAGGATAAAATAGAAGAAGGCAGCCAAGGGAATTGTGTGTACCGGATCATTTGTGGGGATTGTGACACTGCATATGTGGAAGAAACTTCCAGAGTGTTAAATATAAGAGTGGAGGAGCATAAAAAATGTCTGAAGGTGGTTCCAAAGACCTCTGCAGCTAGGAAACAGATCAGCGATTGCACCGCACTGCACTCGATAGAAATGGGACACAAGATCGACTTTCATTGCACCAAGGTTCTACAGAAAGGTATTTGGTTCGTATAAAGAAAGACTGACTGCGGAAGCCCTACATAGATGGGTGAGTCCCAAAAGTCTGAACAGACGTGAAAGTGTGATGTCAGCTGATGCATGGCAAGTCCTGATTAATAGATGATTTACGGTTGTTTCCCCATATACACAGACACACCATTTTATACCACATATATATGTATGCGAGAATGACGAGGGACTATTTAAAAGATTTTGAGTTCTTCATTAGAATGGACCTTCAAAAGCTTTAAAAGATACTGAATTGTTGGAATTGGTTACCTTTACAAGTCACTCTAGTAATGACTATTTGGATGGTCTGACAAATACAATTATCATTGTATATAGCTAAACATTTAATCGAGATGAACCATAAGGTTGATGTTAACTCAGCCTTTAAGGTCATCTATAAAAGCGGTCAAGGACGTTTACTGAAATACGCTGAGGCTATAGCCATTCATAAACTTAAGCCCCCCTTGTGTATTCAAAAACAGTTTGTTATTACTCTTAACCTACCTTGGTAATCCTTATTTGGTTGGATTACCAAACGTTTGTGTTAATTATTCTTAATTCTTTTTTTTTGTCACCTTGTTTAATTTAACTTTTCCATATATATTGACTTGACAAGTAAATGTGTGATCAGATTGTTCGAAATGTATAGCGCTAATACATCACATTTTTCAGATAATCTCCGTCTTCTAATAATGCTATCAAAATTATCATTGTAAAGATTATTGATAAAGTAGATGGGGTGGAAAATGTGTTTGTTGAACAACTCTTTTTTCTTCATACTGACGAATTACTGAGTGTATTCCATCATCAGTATGTGTAAAACATACCACAGGGACGTTTACAATATTCGGTTTAGTGGTGATCTATTCAACTGTAGCAGTGAGTTTTCAAACAAATGATTTTAAAACTCTCAACTATTGGTTTTTTACAGGAATTTCGTTTGACTAGCTGGAGGATTTCATCATGAGCTATCACCACTTAGAGAACCATTGAAAAACCAACAGGGAGCGCTGGACAGCTCTTTCGTCGCAAATTGGGACTCTTCAGGACCTACCCGCCTGGGGTTCTAGTGGGAGGCCGTGACCAGTAGGGTACAGCAGATTTAAGGTGGGGCAGTAACTCATCGAAGAAGACATTACGAAGTGGTTGAGCTATTTCATGATTGGGCAGAAGTTAGAATTCATGGAGTGGCCATTGTATTGGATCCCAGTGGCTTAATGGTCTACGACCTACCTCGCTAGCCTTGTAACCAGAAGGTCCTGGGTTCGAACCGTGGCGGTTGGTGCGTGCTGCTGAAGAGTCCCAAACTAGGCTAACGAAAGAGATGGCTATCCAGTACTCCCAGGTGGTTTTCCAATTGTTCTCTAACCGATGTCAGCTCATGATGAAATCCTCCAACCAATCAAACGAAATTTCTATAAAACCAGTAATTGAAAATTGATCTGATGCTCCCTTGCAACTGGCCCTATTCAGGCAGTTATCTGGGGTTCTAGTGAGAAACCGTGACCAGTAGGATACAGGAGGTTTTCGGATTAACTATTGTGTGTCATTCTTACATTTCTGAGTAGTGATTATGAATTCTGGAAGTAATAAAGCAGCTTAACATAAACATTTTTCATCTTTAAGAACTCGTGGCCAGTGGGGTTCACGATATCGAATATGAAGTGGATTCTTATGCATGGCATTAATTGGTGGTAGGGATAGACTGTAAATTAACAGTGGCCAAATAATCAAAAGTTTTTCCAAGTAACTGTGACATCCTGAACTCAATTTTTGGTAAAATTGATGCACTGCCCTATTGAAGAATCCCAAACTAGGATGAAGCATCTCTCCAGCGCTCTGTGCTTTTCAATGATATAATTAATTATGCTCTTTGAAAGATTTCGTATTCTCTTTTTTTCTTCATTTTCTTCATTTAGTTATGATATGAATACAGAAGAATGTCGTTTATCCTACGTTAGTCCAGACTACTTATTATCAAGAGGACAATTAACAAACAAATCTGATTGGTCTGTTTTAACAAGTTTCGGCGGGACACTTACACCAAAACTTGGCTTACCATTAACTGCAGGCAGTGCTGTCGGTGGTGTACGTAGATGGCCATTGTTTGGACAAATTGTTCATTTTAATCGAACTATGGTGGATTATATTGATCGTGATTGTCATGAAGCTTTATTACAAGGCTACAGGTAATTTACTGGTGACAATATGTTAAACTATGTGTGATTTGTGGTCATGACAGCTGAATATTTTGTTGTTTTTGATGTGATTGTGTTTTGTGAGGTGTATGATTGATTTGTGAAGCTTTTATTGTCCTTTTAGAGAACATATTTAGTGGTTCCTTCGATGTGAAGTGGGATTTTGGAATTCCTAACAAATGTTAAAGCTACTTCTTTTGATGATCTTGGCCATGATAAGTTGTCTGCGGAATTCGTCTTATGTTAGTGTTGGCTTGTATAGGTATCGATCGTTTCACTGACTTAGAATGTGACATTCTTCGCCATTTCTACCATATGGCTTGTTCTTCGTCGGTTGGTAAATTTGACGAGTATCCATATTTCCGCTTATTTCAAATTGTTCTAAGTACTGACCGCCTAGGAGTTCCTGGAGTTCTTCGTGCTTCATTTTTCTAAGATTTTCAAATTTACCAAGTTTAACTGATGCTGATAGCTATCTACGTGGAGTGATTTCAATTAAATTATCGCATGTTTGTTATTAGATGTTTGGAGGCAATCAGCCACAGGAAACCTTCGACCTAGGTTTCGTGCTTCTCGGCACTCACCAGTCAGCAAGGTGTATCTGCATTCTTGAAGGGACTCATTTCCCTTCTCAGATTTGAACCCTTGTCAAACAGTGAGTGCTGCAGTCAGAGACGTTGCTACTGAGCTACTCAGGCTGCCGATTGACCTCCTGTAGGACTGCATTAGATACTTTTGATCGGACACTAACCAGTGTCATGTGTGTAGTCCTTTGTTTATTGCAAAACGCTTAGTGGGAATTTTATAATCCTACCGATTAAAAATATGACTTGAATGATAGAATCTTTAAAAATGTTTAACAGTTAACCAATAGTATATAAATACATACATTTGCGTTTTGTTCAGTGTTCCAATAAATCAGTTACCGTTTCTGAAACACGTTAAATATCCTCAGTGTTTGTAAGTATGTCTCCACCGGTTTCTAGGAAACCTACTGGTTAGGCTGCTCGAACGACTTAGAGCTCATTCCTGATCAGCTTCAAGTAGAAATAACTCCCATGATTGTTGTGTGGCTATCTATCCTGTTGGACGTGAAATCTAGCCGCACTACCTACTGACTATTTAGTCTGGCTGTCAGGCTGTTTCCAACACTACCCCCAACTAACAAAGGGAGAATACAACACTTACGGCTGCTAAAAATTGTATTTATTAGCGCTGATAGGAATAGACTATAGCGATACACGATCACACTACAATATCACTCCTGGGCTCTTGTCCCTTGAAAATCATATTGACCACCGTGTTTCTCACTCTGCATGGATAAACAAATCGATCTTTCGAGTTGAAACGGCTGAGGCTCAGTTGACTTGATGAACTTCTTTGATTCCCTACGTCTCTTTAACATCTTGTAACAATCTGATCTGTGTGGATTGTTCTCAAAAGACCTTATCCTTATGAAAATGGTTATCAACGAAAACAATTCCTTATCACTGGTCAGGTAGTGGAAGTTGGTTAATTACCGTGAATGACATAACAGCTTCTGGTCGGTTTTTAAATATTTATGTCTTTTATGCTTATTATCATTCGACGGGAAAACACAAGTACAACATTTGAGGAAGCGAACACTCCCATCCAAGATTACTTATATTGTCCAAGGTGGTCAGTACTAAGTCGAAGAGTTTCACTGTTAATTTCCACACACCGCAGTTGACCTTCTGTAGCACTTGATTATGTACAAATTTGAGATAAAAGACTATGAATGTGATATAAGTACCATATGTTGCATATTCTAGCATTTCAGATGAATTTGAATTTTCTTACTTCCTCAGAAATGTCTTAACTAGTGGTTACTACAGACTGTGAAAAGAGGTATGAGGAATTAATTTCTCATTCATTATGCAGTTAACACTGAGTGACTAACTGGTTTCAATGTAGAACGTTGTACCAATGCGCAGCAGTTCGAGTCGCCTCACTTTATATAGCAAATGAAGCAAGAGAAGGAAGTAAAAACAAATGCAAAAGACAGACAGTAAACAGAGATATGAGGCAAAAAGAATGGTAAAATATCGAAGAACAATATAGTTTTGTTGGGTATTATAAGTCACGAGGAATGGATGTATCTCCACCAGCCACTGGAAACGATTTTGAGCCACTTCACCGATTATCTCCAGCCACTGCTTTTACCGTCCCGAGGACCCCAACCAAGAAGTCCATACCTACCTACTTGGCTTAAACTAATTGTTGTGGATCTCATTGACTGATGAAGCCATGTTTCGGCTTGACCACCACTGGCTCCTTTCCAACCTGATCCATCTTATGTCAGCCAGCTAACATCGCCAATTGTTGAGGAAGGTGATGGCTAGTGGTGTAACAACAGAAGACAAGGGCCAGGCAACAGATCGTTTATTACGGAAAATCAACACGTATTTATAGATTTTGATGTACATTATTGTAGGTTAATGTTAGTAGAAAATACAGTCTGTTGATTGGTTGTTTCTCACACAAAGTTAACCTTGCATCTCTTGTGCCTGTGTCAGTTCACCTTTATGTTAACTGTATCCGCCTGTCCATTTTGACCTTTGACCTCAATTACTGTCAGCCAATTTGGCTAGCAACCATCTCTCACCACAGTGGTGCATGTGTAACACATGTCTTAACCATCTCAATCGATGTAACTTCACAACCTCGTCGATTGGTTTCCCCTCCTTAACTAGCACTCGATGCCTGACTTCAATATTGCTCACCCTATCATACCACTTCACACGGGAGATAGAACGCAGACACCTATGATCAAAGACAACTAACCAGCCATTCCATGTCTTCCACTTTCAATGGCCAGGTCTCAATCACAGCCATAAAGGAGGACGGAGCAGACTGCAAAGCACTACAAACGCCCTTTGGTTGAGAGCCTGCCGGATATCATGTCTACTAAGCCAGAGACGGCGTAAAGTGGCATACGCGAAACGAGCCCTCTGTATCCGTGCTGAGATTTCATCAGCGACCAACCCGCTGGCGTTGGCGTTGGCTGATTCAACTTCCTAAATAAGTGAAGTGGTCAACGCGCAATACCATTTCACTGGCTAAAGCCTTTGTATATACGCAATCTTCTGTTAAATAGATATACATCTCTAAGATTGTCAATAATATATTCTTGTCAAATAACAACTAGAACGTAAGCTGAATTCATAGAATCATTTATATTTAGTAACATGAAGATGAAGTTTTATATAGTGACAAAGTAATATAATCTCAGTGTAATGCTAACATTTTGTAAAGTTAAGAATAATGTTATATACAAGCCATCCTTCGCAGCGTCGTTTCAGCTACGAACAGCATGAATGAGGACGTCAAAATCAGCCTCAATCAGAAAAGTACAACTAGCTTTCATTACTCTAAAACCAGTGTGGAGATTAACAGATCTCAACACACTAATATCAAGTGATTTAGTGTCTCAACATGGTCTTGAGCTTCACTGAAAGCATCTCCAACACTCCACTATATACCTTCCTCAGAAGTTGCTCACTTCACTTGATGACACTGAAGATGAGATGGCTGGTCAAAAGAGATAAGGAATCAGGGCGTCTAAGTGTGGTAATCATGAAATCATCTTAGAAACACAAAACGTAACGGAGTTAAGTGGCAATGTTCTGTTGAAGCTTTATATCTCACTTGAAGTTCATAAGAAGAATAACAGCAATATTCATGAAGCGATTTCTAATTTAGCTGCTAATCAAAAAAAGCTAATGATAAAGTGTGGGTTTCTGTTACCACATGGTATGGCTGCATCTCAACACTCCACACGCATGATTAAGTAATTTCGATCAACATTGTATAAGAGATATCTATGCAGATAACCATTTCTTGACTGCCTTTCACATAGACAATGGAATTCTTTCGTGTATCAATCGTTTTTACGAATAACTTACTTGTGAAGTAAAGGCATCTCATATGATTGGCTTGTTATTACCAAAACACGAGAAGACAATGTCGGACATGGCCTCCAGTGTGCTTACTCCTAATATTAGTCGGCTACCATTTGATTTGGTGCCCCCAAATATTATACATCTCATCCAACAGTTGTACGACAATGCTGAACCCCAAGTAATCCACAACGGGGAACTCACGGAATCCTTCGAAGTAAAGACGGGAGTAAGACAATCTGGCTGGCTGCCTACTATCTCCAATGATTTTCTCGATTGCGGTAGATTGGATAATGTGACAGAGAGCGGAAAACTAGGAAACAGGGATAAAATGGACCCACACAAAATACTTGGAGGATCTGGACTTTGCCGATGATATATGTCTGATTTCCTACAGACTGGAAGATATGCAAGTGAGAAACAACAAGTTGGCGATAGAAGAAGTATCAAAGATAGGACTTCAGGTGAAAATGAATAAAACAGAGGTGATGAAGATTCTTGACCAACAGCGTCAGCAACAACAACAGACAACAATCAGCATAAATGTGAGAGATCCTAGAGAAGCAATCTTCTTTACCTGCCCACTTACCTGGGAAGCATCGATTCAACTACAGGCCCACGGAACTGATGAGGATATCAAAGTTAGGATCGGGAAAGCAAGGCAAGCTTTCATTTCTCTCAAGTCTATGTGGAGACCAACAGCATTCAGCATGCAAAATAAGATCCGGATTTTCAACTTCACTGTGAAGTCATTCAGTGCTACTTACTATACGTACCGATCAGAGACTTCGCACCGCGCCGCGTCACAAAGGGCACTTCAAACAAACTACAGACCTTTATCAACAGCTGTCTTCGCTCAATACTACTCGAGATCAGATGGCTAGAAAAGATTACCAACAGGGATCTCTGGGAGCGAACCAACCAGGCAGGAACCAACTATGCAACAAATATACAGGAAGAAATGCAGGTGGACTGGCCATACGGTGGGCAAACAAATCATCAAGTGACATCACACACCAAGCCATAGCTGGAGTGGAACTCGAATGGGAAGCGGCGAGTTACTTGGTCATC